ACAATTTATTTGTGTGTATGTGTGCGTGTGTGTGCATTTGAATGCAAAAAGCGCGCGAGCGAGTCGTCCCGTCGTTGTCGTCGTCGTTGTTGTTGGCTGGAGCTGTCTGTGTGTGCTCCCTCCCTCACGGCCTCGCACTCACTGGTTCGTGGAGGATCGGTTCGGCTCGGGCTCAGGCTCAGGCTCAGGCTCAGGCTCAGGCTCAGGCTCAGGCTCAGGCTCAGGCTCAGGCTCAGGCTCAGGCTCAGGCTCAGGCTCAGGCTCAGGCTCAGGCTCAGGCTCAGGCTCAGGCTCAGGCTCAGGTTCAGGTTCAGGCTCAGACCCAACACTTCGCGCTCACGAGATGGGCCTGCAGCGCTGATTGCAAGTGGTCCAGTGTTGAGGAGGGGCTCGGACGAAGCGATTCAGCATGGCGACCACTGAATTTGTCGCCCGCGATCTCGGGAGTCAGGTGCGCGCTCGACAGGAGCGCCGCCGCCAGCTGGAGGTTTGTTGCCAGTCCACCTAGGCCTGCTTCGAGATAGCTGTGCCGTTCGATTCAGTTCTGGTCGCTGCATTCATGTTGGCCGGTTGTGTGAATGTGATTGGTGTGATTGGCATAGCGCTGGCGAGAGCGACAGACAGCGGGGTTTGCCGTGCCTGAGCCGTCGGGGACAAAGCAATCTGATGACACGGATCACGTTCATTTTGACGTGGATGTGATGCTTTTATCTGCGGCCGCTCAACATGATCTTCCCGAGGTTCAGCGCCTTCTCTTGCAGCCAAGCGTCAATGTCAACGCCGGCAATACGGATGGTCTCACGGCCCTGCACCAGGTTCAATCCCCCCTCCCCGTGGACCCCCTTCATTTGCTCTTGTGAGCAAGCCGCCTAGAGCCGTTGTCAAAGCCTTCTGACCATTGTGCTGTGTTCTCCCAAGGCTGCCCTTGATGGCCACGTGGCCATGGGCCAGGCCCTATTGGAAGCGCATGCCGATCCCAATGTAGTTGACAACGAGGTGCGCTGCGCTTGCACAGTCCGCGCTCCGGACATGCGCCACAACTCAACAAGTCCCACCCCATTCAATAGCACTGGACACCGCTGCACGCTGCTGCTGCCCAAGGCCACACAGAAATGGTTGAGTCAGTAGCCCTGCTTTCAAAGGCCGCGCGCCCGGGTCACACTGATCCATCGTTTCCCACTGGTCCATCGTTTCCCACATCCCGAGCCTCATTCCCACTGCCTTGCTTCCCTCGCGGCTCCGTGTATGCCACTCACGGTTTGGCAGGTTGTTGGTGAAGCACGGCGCCGATTTAATGGCAGTCAATGTCGATGACCAATTACCAATAGACCTGGCCCGCGATATAGCCAACCGTGAAGATCCTCCCGAATGCGACGACCCAGAGGCACTCGCTGATGCCCTATCCGATCTTCTGGGCTCTTTTATGACCGCACAAGGTACGCGAACCAACGTTGTGGCACCTCGCATGCAGCGGCCTTTCCTGGTCTAGGTGTCTCGATCAACATGCTTGGCCGTGTGCCGGCGTCGGCACCCTCATGCTGCAGCTCTTTTGCTCTACCTCACGTGGCTTGCAGGTCTCGACGCGGCCGCTGCTGAAGCTCGTCGTTTTCAGAGTCGGCGTCAGATGGAGGCAATCGTGGCCAGTATTGAGGCAGGCCAATCGGATGTCAATGCCCCAGTCACGGCCGATCACGCCACGGCACTGCACATTGTGGCCGCACACGGCTGGGCCGACGTAAGTCATGCAGACTTTGGCATGCGCTTCGCATGAGGGGAGAGTTGGTGTTAAGCACATTTCTTTTCCAGGAGCCGTGCATGCGCGCTCAATGTTGACACGCAAACAATGGCCCGACCCGAGGCAGTTGGTGGATCGACTCTTGACCCTAGGCGCGTCTGCCAATCAGCCAGACGACGATGGCTACACCCCCATGCATGCTGCCGTCGCCTTTAGCCAGGTAGGCGTGTTGTGCCTCGACCATCCGCACCGTCACGTGTGCGCTCTCTCGTTGACGGTCATCGCATCCAGGAGACAACACCACATTGTCACTCCTCATCCCCTTGTCATCATCAACACCCCCACACGGCTAGATTGAAATCGTTCTAGCCCTTGTGGATGGTGGCGGGCAGGTTGATGTGCAGGTTTGTCTGCCTGCCCAAGGCTTGGAATGCTCCAAATGGTCATCCCATCTATATCAGCTCGAGGCTGGTCCCCGCTTCCTCGAAGAAAAATCTTGCCCCACCGGGCTTCTTCTCCATTTCCTTGCTCAAAATGGCTGGCATGCTCGCAGACAAATAATGGCCTTACACTGGCCGACCTGGTTCACCCAGACGACGACACCATGCGGGTATGGCAGTTTCTGCTGGATTGGGCCTCTCAAGACTCGTTGCCCTCTGTCCCCTGCCATTCGCAATGAGTCGACCACACACTGATGACATGAACCCGCCCTTTTGGTTTTTCTGGGTTTTTCTTGGTGTGTGTGTGTGTGTGTGTGTGTGTGTGTGTAGAAATTGGTTCCGCTTTTGCCACAACGCGTACTTGATAGACAGAATAGTTTGCGCCGCGCTCGCGCCAAGGCACAGCCGCAGTCTGCGGCAAGTTTAGCGGGCAGTGCTGCCGAAGGTTCCGTTGAGCCGTCTTCGTTGTCCGACAATGACTTATTGTCTTTAGAGGGACTTGATACTGCTGGCCCCAATATCGAGTCGGACCATGTCATTACCCCACCTCCGCTGGCTGACGCTTCGCCCGAGGATTCGTCCACCCACACCCCGGATACAAGTCCTCCCAGTGGTGACGAACACCACACCGTCATGTTAGAGCGTGGCTCCATTAGCTCTTTTACCCCACCAAGCTCTGGCGTCGAGGATGCCAGCCCCATGACTCGCCGTCTCTCCAGCGTGCGTGCTCGCAAGCAGCTTTCTCGGTTGCCAGAGGACCTCCAGAAAACGCTGGCAGATGAATCACCCGAAGTTGTTCGGCGCTCCAGCATTACACGGTACGGTCAGGAAGCACCCCACCACATCACATCCCGTGCCCAGCCCTGGCTGTCAAACTCTCGATATCTGCCATCCACTGATACATAGGAGCATGGGCAGCAGCAAGCGTGAGGCCGCCACCCGGGACCGTCAGCAGGAGCGCATTGCCATTTTCAGTGGGAGCACCTCTGTCCTGAACCCAGCGCCTCGTCTCAGCTTTGATCTCACCCATGAGGATGTGGGTGAAGAGGCAACTGTCAGCGAGATGCTGCCCGTTGAATTCGAGACGCCTTTGGACGCGGCTGAACCCGTTGTTTTTGAGCCTTCGTTCAAGGATGATGCACCGCCAGATCTGGACAGCACAATTGTGCCCGGCGAGCTGGCAGTGGTGGACAATGGCTCCGATGACCCTCTATTGACGTAGGCTTGCTCTCTTCCTCGCCTGATTGCTCCTCTCATAGCATGAGATCAGCAAGCTTGTTTGACTTGCTTTGATACCTTGTCTGTTTTTTTTTTTTTTTTTTTGGGTCAGACCATGACGAATTTTGGTTTCCTGTCTGACTTGGCATAGATCTTTGACGACTCGCTTAAACCAAGCTTTGGACCGCGTCCAGCATCATGCGGAGCAGGCCATGGAGCACGCTGTACGAGCACGGGCGGCCCGCGATGAAGTCAAGGAGCTCTGGCGCTTGCTGCAGGTGAGGCCACACTATCAGACGGGACCAGATCTCGATTTGGAACGGCTCAAACCATGAGGTCCTAATTGACGATCTGCTGTGCCCATGGCCCACAGGTCACTGTACCAAATCACACGATTCCACACCCTTTTCGGTCTCGCTCCAAGAGCCCAAAGACCCGGTCCAAGCATGGCATGCGCTCCAAGAGCCCCAAACCTGGACGCAAGCCCGTGTGCCGCCCTCGAAGTGATCACGGGTACGTCCAGAGCGTTGGCTTCCAGCCACGCGTTTAATATCAGCTTTTGTTTCAATATTGGCCACTTGGTATCTTCAAATAGGCGTGAAAGTCGGGGCTCGACTGGCTCCATGGAGCGGAGTAAATCGGCTGGTGCGCGGGGTCACCACCATCGAGTCCCAACGAGAAGCAGCGACAGCAAGCTCCGACCCACGAGCTCAGGTGGGGCTCTTACTGATGGGCGTCACGAACTGGACAAGGATGCTCACCATGCCGCGCGCCGAGGTCGGAGCGTAAGCCCACACATGGGTGCTGAGCCTGTGGTACGCCCGCAGTTTCGTGAGCTCAGCCCAGCCGTCACAGGGGCCGAGCGCGTACGAATGGCACGGGAAATGGCTGGTCGACGGCCACCTCGGCGCTAGCCGCTGACATTCAAGAGGAATATCTTCTTGCTGCGCCAGGACAGTTGTGCATAGGAGCATTCAGATGTGCCGTAGAGATGAGGTCAAGCTGACAGACTTGCGAGTCAAGTTTTTGTTTTGCTTCAATTCAAAAGGGAAAAAGAAAAGAGAGGTCGGATTGACGCACAAACGTCACGGCAAAGACACGGCGACTCCAGCTAACAGTCGCAACGGGACCTGTTTGTCAAGCTTGAAAACAAGAGAAATCAACAACTTTGTGGGACGACACGCCGAGTCGCTCACTCGGGGTGGGCGGAAACTCAAGCATGCTGAACAAAAGACTCTGGGGGAGTCACGACACGATTCCAACTCTCGTGTCAACCCCAATGGGACGTGGAGAAACGCGCAAAAGATAAGAGCGTTGGCCACAACAAAAGAAGGGAGCGAAGAAAAAGAAGGCGAAAAGCTGACGGAGAAGCAACGGGGGGCAGTTCAACGGGGAAACCCAAACGGGCACAGAAAAAGAGACGAGGTTGAAGGCAGCAGGCTAAAGCTGCTTCGACCAACACGGGACAGGGACGTTTGTGTAAGCAAAGCACAGAGCTAACAGGACCGAAAAAGAGTTACGAAAAGAAAAGAAAAAAAAAAACGGTAAGGAAAAACAAAAGGTTGCAGAGCGGTGCTTGGGGCACATGTCCTCGCTATAGGTGTTGCTTGGCAGCCTACGGGCCGCGCGATGCGCTGGCAGCCCACAAGGATAAAAAAGCACCACTGCGGTGGCGTTCATTGCGCTTAGACAAGTTCAGTCTCCGGCTGGAAAGGATTGCGGCAGACAGAGAGCGAAATATCAGAAGAAATCGGAGCTCAGGAGACCAGAGTTGAGGCTGCCTCGAGCAAAACCAGTGGCGGACAGATGCAACGTACAGCGGGGGGACCGGCGAGACGCTTCTTGAGCCAGAGGAACATGAAGATGAGCCAGAGGGGACCAGCAAAGAGAAAGCCGACAATCAGCAGACCCAGACCAAGATCCTCTTCATAGTCGGTCTTGGGCTCTGAGTAAAGGTAGACGCCGACGAGCCTACAAGATGAGGATTGCAGGCCGTGAGAGGTATGGCGAGAAAGTAACTCAGGTGTGCAGCCTTGTTTTGGGTTGGGCGGGCAAGAATTTGAGCACAATCATACCAGAAGGGGGAGGTGAACATCCAGATGAAGATGGTGTAGCCCAGAGCACCCAAGCTACAGAGGAAAGGCGGAATGAGAGAAGATGGCATTGGCGACAGGGGAAAGCAGCGTGGGTTGGTGGGCCCACGCACAAGCTGTAGGGAGTCTCGTAGCAGCCGACGCGGAGCTTCTCCTCGGCCTGAACCTTCATGGCGGCGGCAAGGGCAGCCTGGCGGTTGGCACCGCCTGCAGGGGCGGTGGCGGTGGCGGGGGCGGGGGCAGACATTGTGGCTGTGGATGCAGAACACCAAAGGCAAATGAGGTGAAGCGCGAGGCCAGAGGCTCACAACTTTTGGGCGAAGAATCAGCCGCAACAAAAGAAGAAGATTACAAAAGAGGGCAAGGGAAGGACGAAAGAAAGCAAGAAAAGAAGGGCAGGCGGGGATGGCAGAGCCTGATCCCGCGAGGGGAGAGGCCAGCGTGAGGCAGATGAGCGCAGGTACACTACATACCAGTACGATTCTGGAAGAGAAACAAAGAAGGCAAAGCCTATCAGGTCGAGGTCGGGGGTGACACATCAAGAACCGGCATGAGGATCAATCGCAGCAGCTCTCACTGGGGTCGCACATGGTGACACGATGGATGCTACGGTCAAAGAACAAGTCATGCCGCTCAAACACCATGGCATCCGCAACAAGCAAGCATCAAGAACAAGTAAAGCATGTGTTGTCTGGCTCCAGAGGCATGCCGGGAGCGACGGCGACGGCGGGCACGAACGGCGGCGCGAGGGGTCCAAACGGAGCAGTGACAGCAAACGAAGAACCCAAGGCACACCAGTCACAAGTTCAGAGAAAAGAGCGATCGCAGCCATGTTTTCGGGCGGGTCGTGTGAGCCACGGATCCCTCGAGCCTGCACGATACTTCAACTCGCATGGTGTATCCAAACAGCCACTACAACCGAGCCAGACAAGAAGAACAACCCGAGCCCCGCTGTTCCCGTTCCGGGCTGCCGTTTCTCTGCCACCCACTTTGACTCAAGGACGAGAACAAATAGCATTTACAACCTCAGTCGCGCGTTTTTCCCGCCTTTTTGATTTGTCGACGAAAAGAACAAAAGAACAAAGGAAAAGCAAAGGCGTGTGTGTGTGTGTGTGTGTGTGTGTGTGTGTTACGAAGGGATGATGATGTGCTGCCTGCTAAAGTTAAAAGAAGTCTTGTCTTTGTTTTTTGCTTTGTCTCTTTTGCTTTGTCTCTCTCTCTTTGTGTGCTGTTGCTGTCATCTCTAACAAGTGGTAGCCCTTTGCTTTCTCTCTCTATTGTTGTGGCTGTGGTTACCATCTGTCAGTGTGGTGGGGATGACACTTTACTCAAAGGCGTGACAATTGTAACGCTTTCTCAGCTTCATGGAACAAAGCGAGGCTGCATGCGCAGCGTCTGCGGGGGTCGGAATGTAGCGACAGTCCCTGCATAGACCCCCAAAATTCCGTGCCCGTCATGCCTTTGTTGCCCCGCAATCCCCCTAGGCCATGACCCACCTGTTGTCAACAGCTGTTCTCCATACATCTATCCCAAGCCCCAGCCAAGGTCTTCCCACCGGAGGCCAGTGAGTTCCCCAGCCGGTCCCAAGCTGCAGCCAAGGGCCTTTTCCCGCCCACCGAGCTGGAGCAGAGCGGCGGTCATTTGGTGTCTTGGGGAGCCCCGGGGTGAGCTCAGCTGTGCATGTTTGGCGCGCCAGCGAGTGGCAGTGCAGTCCGCAGGGGGTTGAATTGAGATCGCAGTGCCTCGAGGCCAAGACGGATTGGATTCGGGCTGCCGGCACGCACACGGGGTCTATTTTAGAATGGCTGAGGCGACGCCGTCTCAGGAGGAGTTGGCAGGATCCGCGGCCGGTGACACGCTGGTCCTGAACGCTGCTGATCCGGCCGTGTCGGAATCTGACGGCGGTGTCATGGATGGTGCGCATAGTGGCTCGGCCGATGCCGTGGGCAGCGAACCGGCAAAGAAGGCAGCCGACGAGGAGGCCAACGGCGCGATGAGCGATGATGGCGGGCAAGAGCTTGGTAGCGGCGATCATGCAACAGACTCAGCTACAGTGGCTGTGGAGGAAGCAGAGGCGACAACAGGTGTTGATGACGAAGTAGACGTGAATGCGGATGTCAAGGACGACGCAGCGGTGACTGCGGCTGCCGAGGATGAACCGGAGATGGCTGCGGTCGCGGAGAACAAAGCAGAGATGACTGCGGATGCCGCGGAAAACGAGCCATCGGTGGCTGCGGCCGCGGAAAACGAGCCACCGGTGCTCACGACTAAAGAGACTGAAGAAGAGAGTGCAGATGCCGATGCCGTCACAGCATCTGGAGTACCAGCAGTGAAGAATGCAGAGCCAAGTGCAAATAGCACTGCCAGCGAGGTAGACCGAGCCCAAGCATCTGCGGAATCACCAGCAGAAACAATCGTACCAGAATCAGATCCCACGGTCGAGTCAACAGAGGCGGCCGACGCAGAAACAAGCCTGAATTCGTCTGCAGAGGCGGCCCTGGCAACAAAGCCTCACCAGACCGACGTCATGCCTGTGGCTTCCCCCAAGATTGTCGTTGAGATCAGCGAAAACGATCAGGACGTTTCCAAGGATAGCTCCGCCGAAGATGCCTGGGAAGGACGCGGGGATGCCGATGACTACGAACACGAGGAGGTTGGTCCCACGTTCGCTTGTGGTTGCGCAAGCGAGCACTTGTCGCTCGATTCGCTGGCCGCCCGAACAAAATCAATTCACCTCGTCTATTTTGCGCGCGCAGGTGGACCCACGTGTAGAAATTGCCCTTCAAGATATGAATGATGCCTCGGACGCCATCAATCGGCTCGAGAAGGAACTAGAGGTTCGTCGTTCCTGCCTTCCAAATGTCGTCCAATCTTGACCCATGTTGGAGGCTCAGGATCCCGTGTCTTCTCATCCCGGCCGTCATGTTGCTTGCGCCTGGCACACCAATGTCTTTTTCTCTTGACAGGAAACGAAAGCAGCCTTCAAAACAGCCATGGACCAAGTGCAAATAGATCTGCGTGATTTGGCCAACAAGCTCGGGCGCCGCAACATCGACAAGGCCCGCCCCTATCACCAAGCGCTCTTCCGAGCCCGCAAGGTAGCTTCTTGGCCCCTCTCTGACTCCCAGTCTGCTCAGTTGCTTCTGTCTGTGTCTGCGTCTGTGTCTGCGTCTCTGGACCTCTCTTTTGGGTCACATCTTCACTGTGCCTGAGAGGAAAGCAAGCAATGTGGTGCAGCCGCTGCGATTCAAGTGTTTGTGTGGTCTCATGGCGCGCGATGCTCTTCCAGGCCCACTACGAGTCACGGCAGGCAGCTGTGTACTTTGAAAAGGCCTCTGGGGCCTACCAGCAAGCCAAGCAAAAGGTCAAGGCCACCGAGCAGCAGCTGGAGAAGGGCGCAACCTTTGACGCAAATCTCCAAGCTTCCCTCAACAAAGCCACGCAAGACCTCATGACCGCGTTCAACCGCAAAGAACACGCAGATACAATTCACCAGACCAAAACTCAAACCTTCCTCAAAGCCGACCGCGAACTCATGGAGCTGGCCAAGGCACGCAAAAAAATCATCATCAAGACCAAGCCTTACTATGAGAGCAAAGTTCAGCACGACAAGATTCTCATGGGTACGTGCATGTGCTCATGGTCCTTGATGCTCGCGTGGCGCCCCCACCTCAGCCTCAACACTCATGTGAAAATCCATCAATCAGGTCTTCGTCAGCAACTGCTACAGCAGGAGCGTGACATCAAGGCAGCCAAAGAGAAATACAGCAACAGTCTCAATACCTTATCCAGCATTAGTGAGGAAATTCACGAGCGACGCGAAGCTGAAAAGGCCGCCAAAACGCCTCCGGCGTCCGCCACCACGCAGCACGGCGGCGCATCGGTGCCTGCAGAGACCGCCGTGTCTGAGGCGACCGCTGCGAACAGTACAGCCGCACCTGAAGGCGACAAATCGTCGCGTACATCTGTGACCTCGAGTCCGCGTCGCGTCTCCTCCGAGGCATCGGATCGTTTGCGTAAACAGATTGAAGAAGCCAAAGCGCAAGAAGCTCTGCAGCTTCAGCGCGAACAAGCACGCGAAAAGGATCGGGAACAACTTTTGGTATGGCTGCCTGCGTCATGTTCTCTTGTCCCTCGAATCCAGACCCAGACTCACCCCAAATGGTGCTTGCGTGATGTTGGACAGGCTGCGGAGCAAGCCATGAACGCCGATCTCATGGCAGAAGGCGGAGAGGGTGAGGAAAACGACTACAACGAGGCCGATGAGACACAAGATAGCATCGTCAGCTCCCAGGACGATCTGCACATGGCGAACGTCTACGAGGAAGACGATGCCAAGCAATCCCCAACACCACCTTCCTCGGCTGGCGTGGATCCTGTTTCCCAATGAAGGGTCACGGCCTGAGCACCTGCGCGAGGATGATTCACAGCCCTGACTAGCCCCCCTGCCCGTGCCTTGTGTTCGCAATCTTCGAACATGCCAGTTTTAGGTTTGAGTTTTGCTTTTGTTCGTCCTGAATGGAATAGAATCACGAGTCCTAGATCGTAGTTGACAATGCGCAAGCACATCCTCGCGCGAGGCGGCTTTGGTTTCGAGGGAAAAAAGTGGACAAGAACCTACGCTTTGAGAAAGGGACCGCTTTCATCAGCGTACACGTGTCAATTCAAGAGATTACATAACAAAAATACGTCGAGAAGCAGAAACAAAGCAAATGAAAATATTCAACAGCGCCGTCCCATCAGACAGTCTTGGGTAAGACAGACACGGTGACACAGGCCGGACAACGGGAGCAAAGCGCCCAAGCTAAACCAAGCGACCGGCGAAAGAAAAAAAAAAAAAACTCCCCGAGTCTTTATACTCGGAGCTCGCGGATCTTGTGACGATTAGCGTCGTCGACCTCAAAGACCTTGGTCCAGTCAACAGTGGGGAAATAGAATTCGGCCAAGTTGCCAAACAAGCCGCGATGAAACGGCGAACGACCCTTGGCGGCTCTGATATAGTCGTAGCGGAACTTATTGACGCCCTCGTTGGTGGTAAAGTCGTCAAACATGATTTGCTTCAGGTGCATGACCAGCAGCAACGAGACCCACGTCGTATGGAGGCAGCCCTGAGCAAAGAGCCAAGCAATAAACGGCGAGCAAGACGCCTTGATCCATAGGTTATAGAAAAATGACTCATGACTTGGGCATTCCAGCGAGAAGTCTGTGGGGCAAACGGCGGCGGGCATGAGTCAAAAAGGCTTTGGGCAGCTTAAAATCGGCAGGGCCCGCACGCAACTTACAGCGCATGCAGCCAACGAGGAACATGATATTGGAGGCCACAAAGCACATGAGATAATGCATAAAATATCGATGGTTTCCAGCACCAACATCGTTGTCCACAAAAGGGCACTACGGGCAAAATCAAAAGTGAGGCTAGCCCTTGATCAACTGATGGACGAATGGGCGGCCATGTCAACGCGTACATGGTGATCAAAACGAGCGACACAATGATTGCAAATTCCACAGTGCTTCGAGCGTAGCGGACGGCGGGCCTGTCACATCGCCGCAACAGCACCAACAGCACACGATGAGACGATCAAGATGGTGCAAAGGGCGAGCCAAGGCGCATGCCGAGTCTGATCGACGTACAACGCAGGACATGCAGAAGTGATCGGCCGTCAGCATGTTGTTCTGGGAGGTGGGCGTTGGACCGAAACGGATGGGATGAGCGCACGGTCACGGCTCGGGTATGAAAAGGCGCAACAGAACGTGCGACTCTACCTCGGCGAGAGCGATGATGTTGCGGTTGCGCTCCGAAGCCGGAACGACAATTTTGCCAGGATCAGTCGTGTTGGTTTTGTGGAAGGACCAAAACAAAAACGGAATCAGAATCACCACGCAGAGGTTCTCCATGTTGGTCATCATGTCCCAGAAGAGATAAAAGTAGGTGCCATAGAACACGGACAGGGTCGAGTACCACATGGCCAGCGAGTTGGGGGCTTCCCCGGGCTTGAGGTAGGTGAGTGTAAACGTCCTGGACAAGGAGCAAGAAGGTGAGATGATCTCAAGAGTAGATATAAACGAGTAATCTGTCGTCGCGTGGGGTCGCCTCAACGTACTGGAGACTCGTGCACCAGGCGAAAACGGAAAAGGCGAGCATCAGCAGACCGAGCCACACGTTGGTCTTGAGCTGTTGGTTGAAGTGGGGTTGGAGGTTGAGGGTTGGGGGGAAAGAGGGAGTTGGTGTCAGCGTTATGGCAGAGTGAACGTGTTAGGAAGCAAACTCGACACTCAACAGTTTGTGAGACATTAGAGGAAGATACAAAGGTGTGGTCTGGGCACCCACCAGCTCAAAGGCGTAGCCGACCATCAAGATACCAAAGAACGGGGTCCACAGCAGACAGTAGCGGCGCACAGGCTATGGCGAGGGCATCAGATAAGGTTGCGCGGTAGAACAACATGGCGGTGGCACGTGTGTGGCATACATACATCGCGACGGAGCCAGCCAAAGCGAGGGTTGGCCACGGGCGGCAAATGATGACGCAGCGTGTTCTGGTTCTGCGTCAATTTGCCGCGTGGACCCTGGCGATCCCAAAGCATGGATCGGCAGGACATTTTCTGCAGAGAAGGCAACGGGTCAAACGAAGCAAAAAAAAAAAAAAAAAAAAAAAAAAAAAAAAAGGTGAGAAAAGCAAATCAAGTTTCATGAGAGAATTTGCTGGCGCCGCATTCCGTGTGGTAAAGGTTACAGAGGCAAGCAAGGTAGAGTGTAGCGCACCGTAACATTGGGAATGTCGGGGTCGGCGCCAGACTCGATCAGGATGCGAACGGCCACCGTGTTGCTGGTAGCCATGGCATAATGTAGCGCTACACAGACACCAAATTACAGAAAGCGAGAAAGAGGCGACAGTCAGTCAGTCAGTCAGTCAGGCGGGCAGAGATGGAAACACGGGATCGAAAAGGTAAGAGGAAACGGTTGATGCTTTGTGCCAAAGCCAAAGGAGGAGTACCGGTGCTTTGAGATGTGTTGTCTTGGAGGTTCACGTGGGCGCCGAGGCCGATGAGCAAGCGAAAGAGGTCGGGGGCAAAACATTTGGCCGCGGCCCACATCAGAGCAGTTCGCCCCTCGGTATCGCGGCTGTCCACATCCTAGAAATAAGCGATCCATGCAATGGTTCCCAATGTCCGGAAGTGTTCAAAGAGGAAGCGGCATGAGGGTGCCACACGGGCAGCAGGAGACGGTGGACTGGGATGGTATCAGAGGCAAGATTGCCGAGGTACAGGCGTGGATGGCAAACACGTGCGCAAGAGCATTTTAGCGTCGGAGGATGGATCGTACCGTGCCCTGGGCAACAAAGTAGGCGCAGAGGTTGGCAAACCCAAATTGTGCTGCAATGTGCAGCGCATTGAACCCTGGCAAATGAAAGCGTTGAACCGACGGCAGGCATAGGGTGAGAGCAAGCGTGCATAAAAGGGGCCTCAAAAGTGGCGACTACGCAAAGGTCAACAGGCCAGACCTTGAACATCACGAAAGGTGGGATCGGCACCATGTTTCAAGAGGACGGTCACGGTCTGCAGGTGGCCCTGTCTGTCACATCGAAGCGTGATCTTGTGAGGTGTGGGGCCGAGAAGGACAGGGCAAGAGGGAAAGGAGCTGTGGGGCACCATGCGGGGCGTACCGAGTCGCCCAATGGAGCGGGGTTCCTTTGAGCTCGCCACCGATGGCGTCTACGCGAGCGCCCTGCTGCAGAAAATATCTAAGGCGTCGGCAAAGACGGCAAGATGGATGAGATTGAAGCGTTATGGGCCGAGGACCATTGCAAGGCAGGACGTGGGGCCCAGGCGGGACTTGTGTCGTTTCAACGCACTTGACGCAGGGAAGACGATCGTTGATGGCAGCCCAGTGCAGGCAGGTGATGCCCTCGCTGTCCACGGCGTTGACGTCAAAGCCTGGCGAGGCCAGCAAGGGAGGGCGGGTTGATAAGCTCAAGCTGGCGTGACTTTGGCTATCAGGCATCTGTGAGCCTGTTGGTGTCTGTACCTTGGTCTTCAATGTGGAAGCGAAGACGCGGCAGGATGCCACGCTGCGCCAGCTGGAAGGGAGTCATCTCTTCAACGGTTGGCGGCCGTGACACCTGAAAAGTTGGTTGGGACAGGACAACGAGGCAGGCGCAAGATGGGTTGTTAGCCTGATGGTATAATGGGACTGAGATCGAGGGCAGGGCCCGTCGGGCATGGGGCTCAAGGCTCAAGGGGACAACCGCGTTGTCGCGTGGTCCGACAACTGACCTGTTCCGCTGGGGCCGAACTGGCCGGAGGGGGCGAGGCCTGGCCAGCGGCCGGGGCTTCTACACGGATGCCATCGGAAACAGGCCCAGGGGAATGCATATCAGACATT